CTGTTAAATCTACCTGGGTATCATCCCCCCACCCCCCCTCCCCCCCCCCCCCCCCCCCCCCCCCCTCTCCTCTTTCTAACCTGCCTCCATCACGGCGGCCGATGCAACATCGGGAGTCGGTTCTCAGATTGCAGAATTATCGGCCGATCCCACTTCGCCCAGCGTGCGTGATGTTCCGGGTCCCTTTGACATTTCGCATGGTCAGCCCTCACGATTTCGTCACCGAGGGGCAAACAGGAAAACAAAAAGCCGACCTTGGTAACGCATGACATGACGAGCGCAGAATAGTAATTAATCTGTTTGTCAGTCGCGCCAGCAAGTCAGATAGTGACGTCGGGCTATCCGATGACATATTACTGTATGGACCAAAAAAAAAAAAAATTATACCGGCAACAAAGTGGACCGAGATTTTTGCATGTGCCTTGTGCCTATCACGACGTTGCTGTTTCTGATTTCTGCCTCTACGCGGAACGTAGTTTGTTTCACGAGCCACACTAAATTTAGCCATGAACGGGTTGGGGAACAGGACTCTTGCGTGAAACAACCCCCCCGACCAGTCTTTCATTTCCCTCTGGTTTCGTCCTTTTTCCTCAACGTCTGGTACGGCAATGCATTTCTGGACCCCAAGCGAATTGGAAACCCGGGTTCGAGGCAATGCATGCTGGCGGCTACGAGTCCGGCCAGCGCCAAGGCAACAACCTTGCATTAACAGAACGTCTAAGATGTTTCGGCCCCGGGATTGGGCGTTTCCCCCATCCTCCTTCCGTATCCAGTAGCGCCTCGATGCTCGATAGACAGATGACATGATTTTCGGGGTGGCGCTCTGTAGTACGTAGCCGTCCTGAGATGCAGGTTTTTTTGTGCCAATCGACAACTCACCGCGCCGAGCATGGGCACCTTTCTTCCTCTCCCATGCTGCAGGGACATGGGGCACAGTATAAACGGGCTCGCCAAGTGGCATAATTGCGGCAAAATCGACGCTCCTGTCATTGCCCAACGAACCAAACTCTGACGTCTTTCGCGGCAGTCTATTGTGAATACGCCGTGGTGGTTGGCAAGTCCAGCCAGCAGCCATCGTGCCACCAACACCGCCAAGTGAACATCGCAATCACAAATCGTAGCATGTCATCCCCTCCCATGGTGCCCTTGCTGCGCTACTAAAAAACTGCCTTTGATCCACGCCAACCAAGAAAATGAACACCACGTTTCCCAAACATGGCCGTGTGTCTGTCCGTACCAAGAAATGCAGACGCCTCTGCAGCGCTAGATGTACGCTCGAGATAAATCGTCATGCAAAAAACCCCCTTCATCTGCTGAATTGCCTCCCCAACAGAATGTATTCGCCCCGCGTCATCTCCGAGACGCCCTTCATCTCCGCGGCCCTGTGTTTCTGGCCAAAAACATGACTTGATCAAGTGTCTTGCATACGGGGGATAATGGAGGTGGCCTGCCCGTCACTCGATCTGCCAGTTTCCATCGTCAGAATCGGAATCTCCACCCTCGACTTGGTCTTCGACGTCCATGAGGGCCATTTGGACAAAGTGGCGGACCCAAGCTTCTTGGGCTGGGTCGAGGGCGCCTGCGTTTGCGTTAGGTGCGCCGGCCTCCTGAGGGTTCTGCTGTCTTGCGTTACCGCGACCTGCTCTGTGGCGACGGCCCCGGGCTGCTCGTGGTGCTGGCTGACCGCGACGATGGGGGCCGCCTCGGGGAACGGCGTGTTCGTGTGCTCTTCCTCGACCTTGGGGGCGGTTTGCCTGGCCGCGCCCTCTGCCTGCTCGGGCAGGAGGGGGAGGGGGAGGAGGCTGAGGAGCTGGTCCTCGACGAGGCTGGTTGTCCATGAGGCGAAGGACGAGGGGCGCTTCTCTGGCAACTGCAACGGGAGGATTCAACTCTAGGGCTCCTTCGTTGTCGGATCCAGAGTCATCCTCAGATTCGGGCTCTTCAATCTCGGGAACGATCTCCGCGAGATTCTCGCCCCCAACAGGTACCCGTCCCAGCTCCCGTCCACCAATATAGCCCAGCCCGACGTCATCTCCATCGCCGCCTTCCAACTCCCAAAGACGCATGTAGCAAGAAGTCACTTTACCACCCGGCTGCGTATTATAGTGCTTATACGGATTCGCGGGATCCAGCCATGCCGAACACAAGTAGCAGAAATGCGTATCGCACCGCGAGCAAATCATGTGATTACATCCATGTGTCTTTTGCGCCGGCGCATTGCACGTAGGACAAGGACTCGTATGTAATTGTAGATATTCCAAAGACGCCTTCTCCTCCTCAGTAAGCTCCTCCTTGTTGCGTTTTGGTGCGCATCGCACAAACTCTCCATGCCACGTCTGCAGGCACCTGCTGCAGAACGCGAAGCCGCAGTCTTCACAGACGGAAAGTAAATCCGCAGGATCGAATTTCTTGGCTTTGCCCTTGTTCTTCGTGCTTGCCTTTTCATCGATCTCGTGAGCAACGTCGTCCTCAGTGATTGTGTCTGGAGTTTCGTCACCCGAGGATTCAGCAAACTCGAGGCCTTCTGGTTTCTTGTGCCGTTTCGAACGGGCGGCCCCGTTGCACCATTGACGCGGGCAGTAGATTGTGTCCTTGTCCGCTTCGAGCTCCGTCTTGTACTTGAGGGTTACGTAGCGCTTGACCATGTCTTCAGGGAGGCCGATCTGGAGGAGTTCGCTGGGGCTGATGACGGCTTTGGATTTTCCTTTTGCCGCGGTGCTGGTGGAGGAAGAGGAGGATATTGCACGATCCTTGGCACAGTTTGGTGTCAGGCAACGGACTGTGGAGAGGTTTCCTTCCTTGATGGCGTCGGTGTAGAAGTCTTGCAGGCATTGGAGGCAGAAGATGTGGCTGCAGTCTATCATTTTGTGGCATTTGGAGCCCTTTTTGGGGTCTATTTTTTTGTTAGTAATGCTTGTCCCCTTGTGTAAATCTGAGACTAAAGAGTCCCAAGAGATTCATACTCACCCAAACATATCCCGCATTCAAATGTCTCTTTCTCAAAAGCTGTTTTCTTGGCATTGATGTCATAGTCCAACACGGCAAGCTTATGATCGGGATCGACCTCCAGCGTAAACCCAGTATTAACCGCTCCAAAAACATTCTCTGCCTCCCTATGCAAATGGTCAATGTATGTATACGCGACCATATCCCTCCCTGCCTCCTCCCACAATCGTGGTCCATCGTCCTCTAGGACACGTAGCGTCGCGTCCGGAAGCCACTGCGGCGTAGTGGAAATCGTCACAGCAGGCGGCTTGTCCCAGGGATACCCATCTGGGAGCGTAATCTTCAGCGACAGAGGAGGCAGATGAGACACAAGAAGGGAGTCGACTGGTTCTACGGCTAGGGCTGCAGGAGTAGACGCAGATGCGGGGGCTGGGCGCTCGTCTTGTGTTACGCCAGACGACGCAGCTGGGAAGAGAACCGTGACTGGTTTTGCTGGCTGTACCGGAAGTTCCAGCTCGAATGTGAATCGCGGCTCGCCCTTTTGCGACGGGTCTGGGGAGGAGAGTACGTGGCGTATCTCGGGGTATATCGCCTCCAAGGTCTCGATCTCCATCAACCGAGGGTCGTCATCGTCCCCCGCATTATCCATGGTGTCGTGTGCGCAAGCGTGTGTGAGGAGGCCACATGATCTGCAATTTCATGAGAAGACGTAAAAGTATAATCCCCCGGCTGGGGTCGGACAGTGGCTATAAGTACGTCGTGCGATGTAAGAAGTGCATCTAGGTATGTAGGAAAGTTCTGTAGTTGTGGCAAAACGGTGGCTACGGAGCTGAGTATGTGCTAATTCGGTGGAGCCTCGAGAGACTGGACAATGATATAAGTTTTCGCCCTCTTGCCGATTTCCCTTGAATGACCAAAATTGGCTTCGAGAATAAATAGGACCAGATATTTATTGACGCAGTGATGGGAAAATGTAGTGTCTCAACTGTTGACTCTGTGCGGTATGACTCCTCGAGGTTCCACCGCCCACTTCCCGCTTCTAGTCGATCGCGGCGCTGAGAAATGTAAACGCTCGTTCATACGCCGGTGACATATTCCGCTTCAGCTTGTCACGGCTGAAAAAAAAAATAGCAGTCTATCCAAAGCAAATAAGAAGAAATGCCAAAATAGTTGAAAAAAAAAGCTTCACAAAATCGCGACTGTGACGATCAACCCCACAGACCGATTCATGGCAGGCGGTGACAAATTCTGCCGCCAGGCACATGGGAACGCCCGGACCATTCCTCCCGTCTCACCTACTTACTATTGACATCACCAGTCGTTTATTCCTCATCACTCAAAGGGGGGGACTGGTTCTCGCACCCAATTCCGCAACTCGGATAGATATGCATTCATGGTTCTTATTCCCCCGACCCCACAACCATGTTTGACGACACCGCGCCGCTGGCGTCGCTATCCGTCACGCACGTGTATTATGTATGTTCTTCCCGTGCATCGTCCTATTCGCGACCAACGTTGCAGCCAGTTATCGCAACGCTATGTATCCAATGGCCCCTGAGAAACTCCCTGTCCCATAACTAACGCTCTTCAGGACCCGGAAGACCCAGTGTCCCTGCTATGCGCGTACCTAGCCCTCCTGCCGCAAGCCCTCTGCATCGTGTACACCACGCTCATCCTGTCCACGCGCGAGGTCGAAATTGCACTCATGTTCGCCGGCCAGCTAGGCTGCGAAGCGCTCAACTTTCTCCTCAAGCGGCTCATAAAGGAAGAACGCCCGCGCAGGATCCACGGCAAGGGGTACGGCATGCCCAGCTCGCACGCGCAGTTCGTGGCATTCTGGAGCGTGTCGCTCGTTCTGTTCCTCCTCGTACGGCACAGACCGCACCCGCAACGGCATGCCAACTCAAACTCGGACCCTGCGAGCCCCTCGCAGAACAGACCATGGTCAATGCTGGAAAGAGTCGGCATATCTCTTCTCGCGGCCGCCGTGGCTGCCGCAACGGCATGGAGCAGGATATACTTGAATTACCATACGCCCAGACAGGTCATCGTGGGAAGCGTGGCCGGCGTCCTCATTGCTCTGGGGTGGTTCGCTGTCACCGCGGTGGCACGGCAAACGGGGTTGTTGGCGTGGGGGCTGGAGTTACCCATTGCCAAGTTGCTGAGGGTACGGGACTTGATTGTCAGCGAGGATGTGTGTCAGGCCGGGTGGGAGAAGTGGGAGCGAAGGAACAAGGTCAAGATGGGCTGAGCATTTCACGAAGCCTAGCGCATTAGAGGGATAGATCTGATACCCCGGGTAAGACGGTAAGAATAGGTTTGACATATATTCTTCACGAGACTTGACTTTGTTATTCGAACATGTATTGTCGGCAAAGCCATGCCGGCACAGTACAGTCCTTTTTGTACACATGTCTCCTGTGAAGACATAAACGGTCCCATGCCACATCCATCGATCATAACCGCGACAATACTAAAACGATAGAATAGGTCTTGTCCCTTATTTCCGTAACCCTCCTATTTGAAACCAAGAAAACACAGCTATATAAAAATTACGGTGGGTAAACCTATGATTGCCACCTATAGTAGAAGAGAAAGATATTTATAAAAGTAATTTTTTTTTTCTTTACAATTTTCCTTTAGATCCACTCGGCTTCATTGACAGGCGAGAAGCTCTCTGGACTGTGTGTAGGGCCAACAGGCCGTGCAGTTGGACTGCTCGCCTTGGTTTTAGTTTTGCTAGGGGTCCGTTGGGGACTGTACACCGTCGGGCTGAGACGAATTTCCTCCTCGTCGACTTCTTTGACGGGCTGCTTCTTCAACAGGGCCAAAGGCACTGGGGGTAGTTGTTTATCGTCGTCTTCTTCTGAGGCTTCATCTTCGGAGATGGCGAGAGTGTCTGGAATCTGGGGAACAGGCGCACTTGAAACCGGTTGGGTCGGAGTCATGGCTCGAGGTGAAGGCGGGACTTCGTAGTATGACTGGACAGAGGGCATGTCATTAATGTTCGAGACTCGGATGCCGATTGGGACGGTGGCTGATGTGCCTAGGGATGATTCTCGGTTGTGTCTGCTACCTGAGAGTCGGATGGTGGGAGGAGGAAGTAATTCGTCATCAAAAGGGTTGACCGCCTGATCTTTGTCTTCTTTGCTGGAAGACATGTAGGCTGTGGCCGGGAGGGTATACATGGGCTTGTCGGAGACGGTGTCTCGCGGGAAGATGTTATAGGTAGAGTTCTTTCGAGGATGTGCTTCTTGTGACGAGACTGGGCCGGGAGTGGTAGTTGCTACACCAACCGCGAAAGCTTCAGCCATGCCGTCCGGCTTTGGGGGCTCATCTGAAGTCAGGGCATGTACAGGACCAAGCCCAAGCTCGACGTCCTGGGTAGTGTACAGGCTGCTCTCCTGGCGCCGAGCAGGAGGCAATTGCGTAGACAGCGGTACAGGCTGCTTCATCTGTCTCGTAAAGATGAAGCTGTGCGGAGGGCTCGACTTGGGGTGCCTGATGGACCGTTTCCGGTCAAATTCGAAGTAGCCCTTGGGGCCAAGCTTGCCGATCTTGCTTGACCGGAGCAAAATATACATTCCGCCCGTCATGAGACCCGTCAAGTTGGACACCACGACAGTAGCCATGGATAATTCTGACTGCGTGGTTTTAATGCGGGACTGGCCATCCACAGCCACTGAATAAAAGAACGGCGCCATGATAGACTGCAGCGAGAGTTAGAAAAGCAAAGACATGGTGAAAAAAAGGGACACTGTCCCCAAGAAAACCTACCAGTGTCAGTGCACCCAGAGCCATGAACCACGCCATCCATGTTGCTGTTATTCTTTGTTGCTCACCGATGCCTACAACACGGTACAGACGAACAAATGTAGCAACACTCCCTATGAGCAACGTTGCGGCAATTCCAACAAGGAGACCAAAGCAACCGATAGCCCATCTCCGAAGGAAGAACACGAGCGAAGGAAAACAAAAATTGGGGGGAAATTCGAGTCGAGTCAAAACGTACGTTAAAATCAAACCGAAAACGATGACAGCCAGATACGTGGGGACGCTCCATTTGGGTCGCGGAGAGAAGGGTTGGTATGGACGAAGGGCTTGAGCTATTGCTTCAAACCCGAATGTGAACTGAATATACGGTACAATAAAGAAGGCTGCGTCCGCATAGCGAGGTCAGTTACTTGAACAGCCACCCCTGCGAACGACAAGGAAATCCCATCTTACCTGGAAGCATTACTTGCGAAAGGGGTTCACAACCCAGAATTAAAAGCCCATGTAGGCCAAACGACTGGATAACAGCAAATATAATCCCCTGCACCACAATACCCAACGATAGCACGAAGGGGAACACCTCAGCGGGACCAAGTACCCTCCAGAACGAAGACCTATCTCGAACGTTAATATCAAGACACGTGATTTTCAGTTTCCTGTTTCTCGGCTGGGCATATGGTGCACCTACTTCAGCCGAAAGCTGAGATCTTTTCTCTTCGCAGTCATGTAACAATCCCAATAAATACCAAGCGCTGTCGTGGTACCCGCCACAGCATTGAAACTAGCCAGAATCAAAAAAGACGTCCGTATTGACTTGGACGCCGCAAACTTCAACGCATTAATATACGCAGCCGAATTGTTCCCTTGGTTGCCGAATAGCTCCCCTGCCCTGGGCCATAATTCGAAAGAAGGTGGCTCTGCCCACCTCAAACCAGAGCCATCCATAAAAGACGACGTTGCACTGCTGGCTGTGATAAAAGGAGCAGATGATGACGTTCAGTCAGTCAATAATGCCGGTGGAGAGTTCTCTTGTTGACTGAACAGAGGAGGCCCGATGCCCTAGCTCAGATAGCCAGCTCCTGTTCGCCGCCCGTGGAGATCATCTATACTGCCGACTACCTCGAGGGTGATTGAGGTTCTCCGAAGTCGTCTTGTAGTCGTGTGTATGGGAAGAGAAGAGGCGAACCACGGAAACAGGACCTGTTTCCTCGTGGAGAGAACTAAAAGCAAGGAAACTCGAGGGCTCGTCAAAAGAAGGCGCAGCCGGGGGGAAAGGAAACCCGGATTACGGGAAAGAAACAAGAAATGAATTGTAAATAGTAAACGGCTGTCCGGACAGCCGAAAGAATAGCTAGGCTGGTTTGAAGTGAATGACTAGCAGCGCCAAGTAGAAAGAAGGGATGGGGTCAACCCAGTCGATGCAAGAAGACACGAATCACCGTTCAAACCAAACAACAATAGAAAGATGAATACAAGACTACGTTTTTGGTGTCAAGAGGATACCAAACGCTATAGATGAGCGCGGGGAAGAGTCAGGTACGGAGAATGATGACAAAAGCCTGCCCGGGTAGTGTGTGGCCTGGCAGCAAGTGATGTCGAGCAGGACCAGGGAACATTTCCGGCACGGCCGCCACCCGAATCTTTGTTAAACAAGCTGGATGCCAAAGCCTGTCAGAAGGCCGAACCCAGACATCAAGACTGCTTAGCATCAAGAAAGTGCTAGGATCCTCCAACAAGGGGTCATCTTGATGCATTACTGGGCAAGGGAGCGTTTAACGGCACCAGGCCACAGCCAAGGCAAACAATGAATGGCGTTCACTCCTGCGATTCAGACGGGTGGGCTGGACGTTGAGCCTCTGTGTGTTATTACTACTCCATCTAGTCTCGCCACGGCCGGGCGTCTAGCCCTACGGCGATGCCGTACATGTCTCGCGGGGCCTCCAGATCCTCTTAAGCTACGGATAAACATTAGCGCAGATGAAGTTGTCTCTGTAACCCAGATCGTTATCAGCGCCCGACGATCGATTTAGCTGGCTGAGTACTCCTGTGCATGTGTCAATGTCTATGCTCAGGGAAGTTCTCCATTCGACCGAACCGTGATTAAATTTTTTTTGTTGCACGCTGCGCGCGAGAGCGCCGTATAGGGGTTGCCCAGACACACAAGATCAAACATTGACCCCGTTGACTATATATTAACTAATATCACAGTGTGTGGCGTTTGGGGATTGAGTGTTGAAGCAGTCTTGCAACAACTTGGGGTTTCGAATGTCAGTGGTGAAGTTGGACAAGCACTCGCACTACACCTAATCGGGAAAGGCATGGCGTCCCTCCATTCTTCAACGCTCGTAACTGCATCTTTCTTTGAAACAAGACCGACCCTTTCGAGTCTCGACCACCGAAGTTACCCATGCCTCCTTCTCGGAGACCAGAATCGCCAGAACTTGGGAGGATGTCGTCAAGTCTTGATCGCGGATTGGTTCCCGGCGGACCAGATCCTCTGCTGCTACAACCTGACCCTCCCTACTCCGTACTGACTTGTGGCAAGCTTGTACCAGGCTTCACATAACAGCCGTCACAATACCAAGCCATCCCGGGGCTCATTTGGTCCGCGCTACATTACGAGTGTAACGTGGACACCTCGGCGATTGGTTATGCGGGTGCTCGAATCGAGAGCTCTCACGTTTCTGGAGTTCTCATCGTGGTTTGTGACCAGACTCTGGCAAGGTACGCACATAACCTCGACTATATCAGTTAGCGTTTTATACTGTTGCAATTTTGCTTATTTCGCAATTCAAGGTCATGCAAGCGTTTAGGCCGCGCGACTGGTTATCAAGGGACCTGCCTGATCTGTCCGGGCCCGAGCTAGCCGGAACAATTTAAACCACCTAGGTACTCAGCCACTCTTCTCCCGCAACACACACACAGTCGGATGAACTCTGTTCTCGCGGTTTTCGACCCGGGAGGGGAACGCCACTTCTTGTTAACGCCCGACGCATTGAATCCACTGTCTAGTCGAGCCAGGCTCACCAGAGCTCTATTCGTTAATGCCAGTGGCTGTGAAGCATCACTGAAACGCGGAGAGGACACCGATTAGGCTAGAGGAGGGTGAGCACAGAAGCACAAACGGAATGGTGTTCAGAGATACTGCCTTTGCCCGTACAAAACTTGCTTGGTTCATTGCGTGTACTTTTCCAAAGTCAGACCCCACAGTCATCTTTTTCAAAAGGTCTGCACCAAGATAGCAGCAGGCCGCAGAAGAGTACAGGATATAAAGCTTAGGTAGAGAGTAGATGGTATTTTGCCATTTGTCCATGTTACTTCGGGAGGAAAATACTGAAGGCATAGTATCACGAGGGGGCTCGCTCAGGCTGTTCAGCATTGCGATTCAGCCATGGCCGGCAGGCAGTATTGCCGACCCAAACAACCAAGCCACGGACTTGGGAACCTCCTTGCCTCCGTCCGTCCTTGAAAACTGGCATAAAATGATGTCAAATCGTCACATTCCAGTCGTACCAAGTGGCATGAAGCCCATCTCCACAATGTAACGGCTATTATGCCGGGACCCTGGTAGAAACGTCTCGACGGTGCTGGCCGGTACGCACGACACCGCCACCGGCCATTATCGATATCATTCCCCAGCTGCTGAGTATTTGGGGGAGGGAGGCAACCAGGTAGACCTGATATGCCGACAAGTCGACGTCTATCGTCGGACTTCTCCAGTCCAGTGGCCACGACAGCACGCAGCAAAGTTCAAAAAATTCTAATGGCCGGAGACAAACGTCCGTCGCGACAGGATCTCGATCATACATCAGAGCACGCGCCAATCGAGGCTCTTTCCACAGAGCAACCAAGGCAACTGCAAGACAGCGCTTTGCTCCTCCACACGGTCGTGCGTCATTCGTGAGGTTCCCCTCCCCCACCTGTGGCTAACAGACCCCTACGCTTCAACCAGTTGCCAGTTTAAGAAGACTTGTCTGTCTGACAAAAAGGCAGAGTCATGGGATTTACCTGCATGACAGGTTCCTTCTGTTTGCTCTCCCGACTCAACCCATCCCTTTGAATGTGCGGAGGTGCGTTTGCTGTACCGAACCAGCATGTGACCTAATAAGAGAGCTTATATTCTAGTATACGGAGTACTTAATTTTACTATAAAATAACGTGATAATAAAAGTATTACATATGTAAAAGGCTACTTTACACTTAACACATCACAGACATAATAGCATCGTGTTTTGTTACTAAAAAGGTATCCTCAATGTTCTGTAGAAAAATGGGGCCAGTACAGCAAACGCACCTCCGCACTTTCAAAGGGTTAACTTGGCGGGAGATAAAAACGGGGGCAGTGACTATACGCCAATGACCACCACGAGCCGCAAGCGCCTGACGTCATCCATCGTGGAAGGCACATCTCCAGCTAACAGTTGAACCACGAAAGATGCAGGTGCAACCTGCCGCAGCCCACGGTCCTTCTTGCGCCTCATGTTCCCAATCCGTGACAATTTTTTACCAAGGCAGATAGGTGAACTTTCACCCAGCCGCGAGGCACCCACTTTCTCGGTTGCCCAAAGTCTCCCAGCCAATAGAAGACGATCCCGTTCCCTCGGAGCTTCCCCCCGACATCATCTCCCAACATCATGTCCTACCAAAAATGTGGTCTTGGAATATCCATGACGCAATATGCCTATCAGCCCGTCATGTGAAAGGAAAACAGTCTTGTAGTCACGGAAAACGAGGCGAACCGGTGAAGCCTTGACCGCGCTCCTGCTGTGCTCATCATTCTGACGTTGTGTATAAAGAGCCACAAGACGGCCTTCCCGTTCCTCCATCTGTCTCATCCTGGACATCGAACCACACCTTTACCAACTAAACAATTCAATCACATTTTCTCTCTAAAAAAAACAACTTATCAAACTACTTTGACAATGGATTCCCTCAAGCAAGGTGCCAACTACGTCTCCGAGACTGTCAAGCAGGCTACCAGCGGAGCCTCCAAGGAGACCAACAAGCAGGTTGCCAAGGACAGCGATGCTTCCATCGGCACTCGGTATGAACATCCCGGGATTGCCGTACGAGATGTAAACTAACTGGTGTAGTGCTTCTGCTGCCAAGGACGCCCTTGGTGACAAGGTCGACGAGCACAAGCACGATGCTAAGGCTGAGGCTCACAAGCAGCAGGTCTAGATTGGTTCTGATGGACGGGAAATGCCGAGAACAAATTTTGTTTGCGGATGACGTGCATATCTAATACCCCCTAGATAATTGCAATTCAAAGTTTGGCAAATTTTCGTCTTTGACCCGTTGATATATGCTTTTGTTGCAGCGTCGTAAATTGTTTTCGTGATACTAATTACAGTTCCCCTTCATTCACCAGTAAAGTTGCTTGCCCGTCCACCATCTTGGTGTAACCCATGCGGCATTCGTATCTACATCCCGTACGCCTTTCCCGCGCAACCCCCCTAGTTATTCTTTTTGGTGGGCAGGGCCAAAAACGCAAGTGAGATCTGGCAGTACGAATACCACATGGCATAAAGAGGGATGACAACCCAGAGCCCGTTGAAGAAGACGAGGTACACCCACATGTACATGAAGTTGCTACCATCCAGGTTAATATTGCCGGTGAGCCACTCGGGGCAAAAGGTCATGAATCCTATGACGTAGTTAGCAAACAAAAAGGAAAAAGTTTCACAACACAAGTCAGCCAATCCGCAATGCGCACCTCCGTAAAGCTCAGCAGTAGCCAGAATAATCATCCAAAAGTTTGCTTTTGGGCTGCCCTTGCTAATTAAATAGCAGATATATAAGGCCACCGGTCCATCAAAGAACACAGTCAGCAGTTCAAGACTAACCACACCCTGAATCCGCCCATCGAGTAGGAGAGAAAAGTCAGCTCTACACACTCATTGTAAATTCCATCACTCGGAAAGAGGTATGTGGCGTACCAGGTCGATACCAGCCCATCTCTTGTCCGCCCTGGCATATACCATCCACAGCTGCGCAAACGGGTTATCCCCACCGCTTTGCGGCCCATAAATTCTCTGGTTCTCCCAGCCCAGGAAATTGAACGGTGTGGGAAACAAGTTGGCAATGTCCGTCTCGGCGTCGGGCGTCATATACGAGAAGAAGCAGTGGTACAGGAAGCTGCCTTCAAGGATGAAGTGGCACAGCGCATCGGCGAGATGCCAGATGAAGAGGAAGCGGAGCGTGCCGGATGTTGACGTGGGCAGGACGGATTTGGAGGTGAGGTAGGCGACTAGGACGATGGCGACGGTGGCGAGGAGGGAAATGATGGTGGTTTGGTCGAAGAGGTCGGGGGGCAGGTCGGTCATTGTGGCGGGTGGTTGTGGTCGTTTGTGAAGATGAGCTTCGTGATGATGGCGGCCGGTGCTGCGAGGAGAAGAAGTCAATTGGCGGTTTTTGGGAAGGGAAGTCAGCAATTTTCTGAAATTGGCTGAGCGTGAGGGTGCGCTGCGTTGGCTCTGTCGGTTTATGCTGCTGGTAACTGAGTTCAAGTGCTCCTATGAGTCCTGTCCTGATTCCCTAGCTGAGCTTCCATGTCGGGGAAAGAGCTCCAGTCCCCACTGCGTACCCTTGTTGGTCAGGTACCAGCCCGACCCGACTGGTCGTCATTCCCACTCTGCAAGTTTTAGAGCACATCACAGGGATCGAAATGCTTTCCGCCCTTTACTTCAGGTACAAACGCCAATCATACCGCCATCGCAACATTAGACAAAAAGACAATACCATCGACATCCTTTCGGTTTGAGAAACAAACTTGTCACTGCATCTCGCCGGTGCATCACCCATCAGGCACACCATTACACCGATAATCAATCAAGACACCAGATGCACGATACCAGATGCCTTCGTGTACATACAACCGAACTTCCCATTTCCCTCCTATTTACGAAGTAGATGCTACATCAAATCTTCAAAATCATCTATATACAACCATCCATAGCTTCACCAGACAAAGCAGAATACCCCTCATTGCCAACACTCCTAATCCCACTTCTTGAACTCCTTTTGTTTCTGCCGCGTGTTCCAACCCAGTTTCCCACTGATACTATTCACCCAGTCCTCGCTTCGCCGACCCTCTGTCTGCACAGACGCGAATGGGAACCGGCTCGCGCTGATAGTCACATAGTCACCAGGCTTCATCTCCACCCGCTCACGGCCATCAAAACTCGCCCACGACGCCGTCCGGGCGTCGTACGGCACACCAACGCGGAGCACAATGGTATCGGGCAGAATGATTGGCCTGAACGAGAGTGTGTGCGCGCAAATTGAGGTGACTAGCATGACGGGGTTTTCAGGGTGGCAGAGCGAACCTCCAGCTGCGAGATTATACGCCGTGGATCCCGTTGGTGTAGATACGCAAACGCCATCCGCAAGAATGGAGGTGAAGTGCTCGTCGTCTCCGAAAATCTCAGTGTATGACATGGCTAGGATATTCTGTTAAATGGAGGTTTGACACAATACTCATCAGGAGAGGGGTTTTCTTCTTACTGGGATTCGGTCCACGGTCCACCACCACTTCGTTCAGGATTTCGTAAGTGCCGTCAGGTCGATGAGTGTGTTCATCTTCCCTCTCTTCCCCTATCAACTCCTCTACCAAGTCCCTGCGCCTGTGAAGATCGTCATCGTCTTCGCCAGACTCCTTTTCGTCGTCAGAGTACTTCCGTCTGATGCTTCTCATCACCGTGCTTTCAAAACGAAGGCGCAAACTAACAGTGACGCCCTTGTCAAACGCAGAAGCTAGTATACTTTCGTGCTCTCCAAAGTCGAATTTGGTCAAAAACCCCAAGCTGCCGAGGGCAAAGCTCAAGACAGGAGGGACGATGCGCTGGAATAACCAGCTGGCATACAGAACCGTGCCGTCACCCCCAAGCGTAATAACAAAGTCAAACATATGTGGTCGTGATCTACACATTGGCTCGTCCCAGTACCGCAGTCGTCGTTCCAAACTCGCTCTTGCTGTGGCGAAGTCTACAGCACCGTCTGCAGAGTAGCTCTTGGCCGCGTCGTCCAGAATCCCGGCTACGTCGAACTTCTTGCTCGTCTTCAATTTGTCTTGCACAAACACTACGTAATCAACGTCTCTTTCATTGTGCAAAAGCCACTTTGTCAATTCTTTTGTCTTGGGAATCAAGTCTTGGTCGTATACCTTGGTCAGAAGGAAAACGGTCTTGACTCGAAAGCGGATTCGCATGCTGCTCAGTCTTCGACTTAATTCGCGAACACCCCATGCCATGTCGCTAAGCTGCTTTTTAGTAAGCATGCGACTGTGAACCTCTTCGTTTTGAGTCAAATCCAGCTGCGAGGCAGTCTTGGACATAGTACGGGTCCAAGTCTCCTGATCAGCCTGTCCAATTTGACCCTCATCGAGGCTAGAGGGATCTACCTCGACACGTGAGTCTTGTCTTGGCTTGTGTTCAGGTTCGAAGGGTCTGTCTTTGCCCTTTGCTCTGGTTTCATCGACAGTGTCCTCATCGTGCTCGTCGGGGCTGGCATAAATAGGATGCGCATGATATCTTTTCTGAGGAGCTTCGCCAACTGCGGCGGTGGCTCGACGCTGGCTATCTAGAAACTGGTGGACAAGGCATTGGTCGCGCCGGGCAGCCACGGGACGTTGATGTGCATATGGCGGCACTACCTCTGATGCCACAAGAGAACTCTTTCGGCGATATGGATTGGCAGGGTCAAAAGTCACCTAGAAGCAGAAAATGACCTCTTGTGTTAGCTATGTGCACCAGGAAAGTGTCGCGACTCAATTGGGACGAAGGCATTCGCACCTCCAACTCATTGGTGTCATCGTCACTGTCGCCTACGGACCCGTCGGCCTGCTTTTCTGGTTCGGCAAAGGTTGCATGTTTCACTGTTGTCGCCTTGGCCTTTTGGTCCCTGTCGCTGTTGCTGTCGCCGTCCTTCATCGTAGTCTAATTGAAATAGCCGCACAAGCGTATCGACATCGACAGCCGGCGTCGGAAAGTCAAATCGTCTCGTCGCTCTGTGTCTCACTCTGTGTCTCGAGACGGCGGGCACGGGGTTAATATCGCCAAGCACCAACCGCAGTGGTCGTGCTACAGCCGGTTCAGATATGGAAAATCAATTGATCAGCTTCCTTGTTGGTGTCGCCGATGGTGATGATGCGGGGGCTAGGAACGCGCCAGCATGGTGACAACATGCTGAAGCTCATCTTACGGAAGCTTACCTAGCAAACCAACCTTGGGTGCCTCGGTAGATAGGTATTAGCTACATAAGCTTGCCACCGGGAATACGGGAGTACGCCTCAATGATCGATTGCTGGGGCAGAATGCAAAGGGCCCACATATAAAGTTTCTGGTTGAGAACTGGTCGTTCGTTCATGTTGCAGGAGAGGGACAATGGTCAGTCTCATCCAGGACAGCGCCAAACCATATTCGCAAGGTGCAAGACAGGGCAAATTACTATCAAAGGGGCCTATTGAGCAATTTGGCGTAGGGAGGGAGGAGTGCGCCGACATACATCGGAGACGAATGGAGAGGCATGCCCAACGTGAGTGGGGATGAGGGTTACGATGGTCAATTAAGAAATCATTCATCAATGTGACACGTAGTCTGTGAATGATGGGAGAAGGTGTTGATGACCGCTTTGAGCTGTTTGAAAGTACCCGAGGTGGTACCGTTGGACGCAATATCAGAGTGTATATGAGATTACTAGAGCCGACATATGTACAATGAGTGGGATTCAGCCGTTCCATCAAGAAAGTGGCAAGACACATTCTACATCCCTAGCTCTTGGATCGGCACCATTGTATTCTTCAAGCTCCGGTAGATGCTGCTGCTTCCCTTCACAGTGCTGGTTTTGCCTTGTCAGCTCTGGGAGTAAGATACACCATCAAGGGATACTTCTCCCACAGCGTATACGATCGTTGGTTCAGCCACCCCGAACTCTCAGACGCAAGTTTCATGTCGAAATTATAAACCACACGAGCAAGGATCAATCGCATCTCAGCATATGCCAGGCTACAGTGCCCGTTAGCATTACTTTGCGTGTCATTCATAGTCACATGAAAGGAGACGATCGTGTGTGTGTTGGAGAGGGAGATTGGAGGGGGTTTTGACCGGGGGAAGGAGAGGAGGGAAGAGAGGGGGAAAGAGGGGCAGAGGCAACTAGGCAGGTGCGCACTGCGATGCTTACTTCCTGCCAATACAATTTCGTGGACCGACATGGAATGGCTGAAAAATGTTTCGGTTGTCGTTTGCGAACCTTGCGTCTCCTAAAAATCTCTCGGGGTGGAAGTTGAATGGGTCCTTGAAGTGCTCTTCCATGTGATATACAGCCCAGTGATGGACGCCCAAAACAGTCTGAGGTCAGGTAAGCATCCATTTGTATAATTCTCACCATCTTTCTCGCCTTGGGGAGGGTCAGTTACTCACGCCTTTAGGAAAGAAGGTTCCCGCAACCATCCCGCCCTCCTCTGGAGTGGTTCTTGGCAATGCAATTGCAACAGGCGGATACATTCGGAGAGCTTCATCTAAACAGGCTAGCATATACCGAAGTCTGCCGGCAGATTCGATAGTAATCTCGTCTTCATCGGCAAAGTTCGACCGAACTTCATCTGTCAGGCGCTTAAGGGTGTGAGGGTTAGATGTGAGCAAGTACGTGACACCAGAGAGGACGGTAGCCGTCGTCTCAGATCCTGCAATGACTAGCAGCGTGGAATTCGACTCTAATTGCTCAATCGACATGTTCCACTCATCCTTCTTCTTCAAGACACCATCTATCAGGTCATCCCTACTACCAGCTTCGATTCTTTTCTGCAGCTTTGCTTTGTTGATCTTGTCGTGGAAGCTCTGCTTCTCGAGGGCCCGGTTGGGAATCATCCTCGTTACGATACGCTTCATGAAAGGGTAATAGTCTTCGATCTGGAAATAGGTCCCCAGACGACTCAATTCAAAAATACACTGGACCCATTCGTGGTAGTCGGAATTTTCGAGACAGCCGAAAGAGTCTCCAAAGGCCAAGTCACCGATGATGTCAAATGTGGTGAAATTGTACCACGAGTCCATACGGAGGGGAGTCTTGCCATTGTTGTTCCACTGGTATAGTCGCTTGATGAGGAGATCGACAAAGTGTACGATACGTGACTCTTGGGCTCTCATGGACTTGTCTGAGAACCCATGAGATAGTTGCCGTCTCAATGCGGCATGTTCGTCCCGACCTGAGTATATTATGTCTGGCGGCATGAGTGCAGATCTACCTGGTCGGTAAAGGGGACGATACTTGGGAAACTCTTCGGCGTTGTTCTTGTGTCCCATAATATCTCTCCACGCCTCAGCGTCAC